TTGGGGGAGGGAAGGGTAGAGACCTGGCTGGGATCCTGCCCGGCATAACCACCATTGGGGGCCTGAAGGAAACTCCAGCTCTCTTCACTGATTTTTCAGTTTTATGTAGAAATGAGCCTGCATTGTGAAAGCCATTTGGGTGTTCTGTCCTTTTTCTCAGTATGAAGTAAACTTGTTCCTGCTCAGGTTTTTGTGCAGCAGTTGCTAAGGAAGTGAGGCCTGAAAAATCCCAGGTTCAGAAAGGCTGCTTTAAGGCAGAGGCAAGCCACCTTGTTCCACCTGAGAACTCTTTCCTTTTCTCACTTTCTTCCTACTGGGTCATCTTTCTTTTGGGTGGGGCAGGGTCTCCAGGCTTAGCAGGGATGTGTGGTGATGCAATGATGTCACTGGAAGAGCAGAAGGGACTAGAAAGTTTTGACTAGAAAGTATTTCCCAGGTCTGGAAGGTGAGCATTGCTATTTTGTATCTTTTGAGGGCAAAAGCCCTCACACAGAAAAATGTTCAGCAAGATTTGGGTGCTGCAAAAATGGGCTGACAAGGGGCCTGAGCATCCCTGCTTATTAATTACAGATTCTCCCTAGGCTCATTCGGTCAGTCTTTCAGCTTAAATTTGGAATATAGAAGCTTTGGTAATGGGTGAAATCAAAGGTTCATTAAGCTAAGGGAGAACTGGTTCAGTGCTAAATGCAATAATAGTATTACGGCCTCTGCTGAAAGGTCTCCAGAAGAGGAGACATGAAGGCCTTTTGTTCCGCTTCTGGGAGGCTTTTCTGACTAGGAGGTTTCTCCTCCGACTTTGCTGAGATCTGTCTCCAGCAGTTCCCACTCCATCTTCGTCAGAAGGTAGCTGGCATGCAACCGGATCGTGCCCTCCAGTGTTAGAAGGTCATGAGCTGAGTGAGGCCATATAATTTAAATTAGGTAAGACAGAAATACAGAGTCTTCTTGAGCAGGATTTTGGGTAGGATAATGCTCTCCTTGAAAAACCTGGTTTCTTATTTGAGCAGCTTGGATTTTCACCTCTGAAGAGAGGGAGAGATACAGAAAGATGTGCCTTTGATACATGGGGCATCTAAGTTTCTGGAAGCTACTGTTACTTAGTTTTCACACCCAACTTATAGCAGTTGCATTACTGATTACTAGTTTGCTTCTGGGCTCAGTTCAAGATGCTGATAAATGGCATTTGTTTTTTTGTTTACTCCACTTTATCTGCTGCCAACAATTCTAAATGACTTAAGTATTTGAAGCCTCTCTCCATAGACTTCTGTGACTTTGTTGCTTTGTCACATGCTGGGTTTACACATTGTACTAAGCCATGGTTTATTTAACTACAATTTGCTACATAAGTCTCAATTGGTTCAGTTCACATTAATCATCAACATGGCTTATAAATTACAGTAGTAATGTAATGTGCTAAGCCAAAGTCCCCCAAATCGTATTTAGCTTCCTGGGCTGTCTGAATCCTGTCAGTCTCTTATTTAAGTTACCTGGTCCTTGAGTTGTTTTATTTCCTTTTCTTCCTGGCCTAAAGAATCACTTCCCCCTTTCCCAAACACTGCCTGCAGGACTTGGGAATGAAAAGAACCTTTTCCGCACTGGCCCTCTTACCTTATTTTATACACATGGAATATTTTACTGGGATCATAACCTTCTTAGAAAGAGATAGTGGTTTCCTGATTTTTCTTGTTCTGGCATGCAGAATACTGAAGTGGCATTCAATTATTGTCAAGAGCCTGTGTCAGAAATGCAGCTGTGGTTTCTGGAAGTATGTTCCCAAGCCAATTTTCTGCTCCTCCTAGCAAAATAATAAGCTTAGTCTTGCCAAGTCAGAGTTGGGCCTCTCTGGTTGACAGAGTCGAGCACCCAAGAGTGACCTCAATAGTGTGCCATTGGCAGCCATACTCAGCAGGTTCACCCCAGTTTTGGATACAGTTGGTGTTTGTTTGTTTGTTTGTTTGTTTATGGCAAGATTTGGGGCATATTTTGTTCTTGCCTCCTTCTTCCTAGGTCTGAGAGAGAGAGACTGGTCCAAGGTCACCCAGCTGGCTTTGCGCCTAAAGACTCACAGTCTCCCAGTATCTAGCTTGATGCCTTAAACACCACACCAAACTGGCTCTCTATTATTACTATCGGGTATTATATTTGATGCTGTATTCATCAGTAGTAACATATATTCATCTCACAGAAATCCCATAGAAACTTCCTGAGGGTTCGATTTGGGAATGTCCTAAAATGTAATTGAGATTGAATGCCCTGACCTCTTTAATCATTGATGCATACTTTGACTACTATAACAGACATAGACTGCTATGTGATTGCATAGAACAAAACGTGATCACTACAAGGATTTTTCATATTTTCTATTTTTCCCAACATGCAGTCTTTGCCAAAATGACATTCAATATTATGTGTAAATGTCAAATGTTTAGAGAATGCATATTTTATAGTATCTTGGTTGTGTTTTAGTGTCTGACTGTAATTGTGAGCCAACTGCAACAGAATTTCATTTTATTATGCACTTGGTGTATAGTGTATAGTGGAATGACAATAAAGTTATTGTTCTGTTCTGTTCCGTTCTGTTCTGTTCTGTTCTGTTCTGTTCTGTTCTGTTCTGTTCTACTACATGGAAGAATTTTTGCCCAGGCCTGTTGATTAAAAGATGGAAGGAGACTTTACTGGGATCAATATCCAAAATAGTAGGTGCATAAGTGTACCAGATATACACTCTACCCAAAGTGTAATGACTTTGGATATAATACACGACCTTCTGTTTATCTGAATGCCCAATGGGCATGAAGTACTTGGTTAATAATCACCTAACGTCAGGAATGACTTCAGGCTTAGCATATACAGTATGGCAATTCATTATTTTTTATAACTGTAAATGAATATATTACCTTTGGCCATTTTTGGAACTCTGCTCTGTTCTGTCTGTTCTCATTTTAATGAGACCCATTGCTGTAATAACAGTTTTATAGTTGCTCTAGATGTTGTCTATTCTAGGGGAGAGTGAAACTTGTTCGTGCTAGCTAGGAGTGAGGGGATTTGTACATCAGCACACCTGTGGGCATCAGGTTGTGGGGAGGCTAGCCAAAGTGATTCAGAAAGGAATTGTTACAGTTGGTGCACTTGCTGGAAACTGAAACTTTTTTCCTTAAGAATTAAAAAAAATAGGAAAACTGTTCTTTGAAGGTGGAGAATGTTCTCCAATGTTATGGAGAATTCACTCATGAAATGAATCAACACCACATTTCAGGAATTCTGATCCTGACCCATATTCCAAACGTTCCCATCTCTTGCCCTCCAAGTACAACTCCAAGAATTTCTAGCAGCCCAGCATGGATAACATCTGAGTTGAAATTTTTGGGAATTGTAGTCCCAGAACAACAGCAGATCCTCAAACTGGAGAAGGCTGGAGTAAACAGGTCAGAATAGACAGGTTGCTAGACTTCTTAGCTACATCCTAAGAGAATGTTCTATTTTATTAAGTTCTCTAATTAAATACATTTTCATGTAAATTCCTGAAGAAAGACAATTTCTCTCTGATTTTGGTTTAGCAGGATATGATTTTCCAATTACTGTTTAAATGTTCCAAGTACTGTTTAAAAGGTATTTGGTCTTAAGATAACTTTGGCCTTGTAAGGAACATTTGTTTTAGAAGCCATTAAGAATATTTAAATTAAAAGTTGTGGTTGAATTAATGTTGCTCTGATTTAACAATATTTCCTTTTCGTTTCAGAACTGGTCTGTTAGTCTTATAGCAGCATCTTTAGCTGGAGCCTTTGGATCCTCCTTCCTTTATGGTTACAATCTCTCTGTGGTGAATGCACCAACAGTGGTGAGTGAATGATTTTTAAAATCTAAAATCTGTTTGGCTCAGCAACAGACTGTAGTAAGAGAAGGTTTGTGCAGCCTCCCAAGGTCTATGCTTGTTCTGTGCTCCTTGTTTCCTTGTCTACCTCTGAATTGGCTCTTTTTCAGGAAAGAAGCAAGGAAGATGGTTTCAGGCAACCTGATCAAATTCGCTGGAGTGGTTCATAATTATGTATTTTCAAAAAGACCTTTTATTAATTGTTCATTTTTATCTACCCTTAGTATATTGCATTGGTAGCCATTATCTTTTCGAGTGAGTTCATATTATCTTGAGATAATTAATATATCTCACAATTGATATTTTCTTTTGGTTTTTCCTTTTTAAACTTTAGTAAAGAATATGAAGAGGGAAACTCTTACTTTAGCTCAGTCTAGTGAAAGCACTCTTCTTGTATTTATGATTTATTTTTCCTTGCTTGTATAACTTGCACAAGAGTGCATATTAATATCCATATAAGTTATCCTTACTGTTTTCATAGCTGTTAATTTTGGAAATAAAAGTCCATAAAGTGTGATGTAGCCAGTAGGCTTTACACGTTATTGTAGATGTAACAGTAAATTAATATTAGTGGGCTGGGGAAATTAAGTTCCATGTGTTTCTTCCTCTTTGCAGATACACTGGGTCCACACTTGGGCTATGAATACTGTAGCTACAGTATGTAGACAGAGAGACAGAAGCTTCATTCATTTGTGGTGCTTTGCTAGAAATTCCTTGGCTCCCTCTGGCTAATTCCCATTCTTAAAAGCTGAACCCCCAAAGTGCTTTAATACTGGTTGACTGGATTTCTTATACATTTACAATTTAGGGAGATGCTTAGAAATATCAGGTGTACAGGTTACCTGGTATACAAGTCAATCTGTAAAATTAACTAGTTGAAATTTCCTTGAATAGGCCGTAACTATAGGAACTGTTTTCCAAAGAGGTTAATGTAGCATCTCTGATTGTGGCTCGTTCTGACTCATAGCAGTTCCATTATCATTTGGGGATGCAAACAGATATAAAAAAGGAGCTGCCACAGCTCTTACTTCAGCATTATTAACAAAGCAATATTACTTATATTGTGTATCCTATTCTGTTCTCGGTTTGGCATTAAACCAGGACTTAGATTTGAGCTATCTGAGCAAATTTAGTGATACTTCTGGTGCTCATAACTTTTTACAAAAGACCTGTTAGATCACTGTTTCTTAAAGCATGGTCCAAGACCCTCTCAGAGGTCTGGAAATCAAAATTATATGCCAGATATTGAAGATATTTGCAAAAATTTAAAACAATGTCGCTCTTCTCATTATTACTTTTTCTTTGTTAAAAATATAGTTTTTATTTATGTTAATATATAATGGGTTCATAATATTTTTATTTTACATGATTCAATAAATAAATATTCTATGAATGTGTCAATTTTAATTTTTAATACAGTAAATATCAGTAAATATAACCAATACAAACAAAAGTTCTTTTGTGGTCCTCCATCTTTTTAAAAGTGGGATGGGGTCCTCCTGAGAGCAAAAAGTTTAAGAAACACCATCTTAGACTGAAAAAAAATACAGGGAGGTCACTACACTCAGAAGGCTGAGGAAAGAAATTCTGACACTTGTCAGTATCATTGCTACAGTTTATACAAATGGACCACCATTTGTTCATTGCAAGTCCATTTTGCAGAGCCCTTATAGAGTTGCCATGCTGAGACCAGATGCGGGGAGAGAGTGCCTGCAAGCAGAATATGGTGGTTTGAGCCTAGAAAAATATAACATATTTAAGGAAACTGACCATACAATAACCAAATAACAGAAAGAAAAACAAACACTTGTTACACAGTTGTTCCAGTAGTGCACCTAAAGCTGTTATTAGATGACAATTAAGGCACTTGTTGGCAATAAGCAACAAGCAACATGGTTTGATTCTGCATTAAAAAGCATACCTGTTTTTAATGCCAAGGGCCACAAACATGAAGTAGTAGAGAGAAGGAAAGAGGAAAATATTTGTAGAAATAATTGGACAAATTACATACATCCTTACAAATTAATAAATCATGAATTGTTATGTGGAAATAATGGAGCATGATATTTAGAAGTAAACTAATAAGGAAGGCTTGTTACATGATAGTCAGCATGGCAATGCATTATCATAGAAATATTGTTGGTGGTCGTTCCTGATAGTCAAAGTACAGATTGTTATTTTTCACTGGAACGCTGAAATTAGTCACGGTGGAATTGTGTTTATCTTGCACCTTTGACCCCATTACTTGCACTTTGTTCACTGATGAAATCCATTACACGCTTCAGTGATTGGTCTAGTAAACACTGACAGGACATTTTATTCAGAAATGACTTCAGAGGTGACTTCTTCAGAAGGAAAAACACTTCTGTGTTGCGTTTGGCCCTTATAGCTTAGTACAAACCAGTCTCTAGATAGCTAACAGAGACCTGTTTGTGTGTGTCAGTTATTTTTTTCCTTCAGATAACAAAGAGGTAGTTGAATGAGTGCCAGTTAATTTGGAAATAAACTCTGGAAGTGTGGAAAATACATGCATTGCAAATGAAAAAAGAACATCTTAAGAATCCACCATTTCCAAGATGCTGAGTTTTCAGTGAGGAAATCAACAGAGGTTGGAAAGGAGAAGGGGGAGAAAAGCAAAATTATCTCTTTATGCTCCAAATAGTTTGGCCTTTCCCAGCCTAGGGACTTCTGGAACTGTTGGAATTGCAATTCCCAGAACTCCCTGCCAGTGTTTCATCTGAAGTGTGAAGAACAATTGAGTTTCCAACGTTAAAAAAACAACAACTCTGCAATGCCAGCACAGCCTGTTCATATTGCAGGATTGATGGGAGAATCTCAGGACTGATTTGCACTCTGATCTGTTGTTTTATTGTAGGTTAAGCTTTAAAGGGGCCTCTGAGAATCAGCAAAGCAGGCTGTGTAAGCCATGGCACACTGAAAAAGGAAAATAGGGAAGGGAATGAGGATATTGGAAGGATTCTCCCTCCCTGTCTTCCTCAGCCTTTCCTACCAGTTTCTTCCATTTTTCTGGAACAAGAGGGGGAGTCAACTTTTTTTTTTACTCAGAACTTGGGGGGGTTATTTATGTAATTTTATCCCACTTTTTTTGTTTTTTTTAATACTAAAAGCACTCAAGGTGGATTTTTTTATTTGCTTAGAAGGGATCTTTTAAAAGCCCATGGAGGGATTTTCCATTGCTGAAGCCCACTCTTAGTGCCCAGTTGTGGTATTTGTTGGGTAATAAGATTAAGAGAAGACAAGAAATATAAATATCAATCTTTATATGTATTTCAAAATATACAAAAGAGAAAAATTAGGCATAAAATATATCTTCAACA